TTTGAGATGGAATCTTGCTCTGTCTCCCAGGCTGGAGTACAGTGGCATGATCTTGATTCACTGCAACCTCCAGCTCCCTGCAACCTTCGCCTCCTGGGTTCAAGCAATTCTCCTATCTTGGCCTCCTGAGTAGGTGGGATTACAGGCTGTCACCATCATGCCCAGCTGATTTTTATGTTTTTAGTAGAGATGGGGTTTCCCCATGTCTGCCAGGCTGGTCTTGAACTCCTGAGCTCAAGTGATCCAACTGCCTCGGCTTCCCAAAGGATTGGGATTATAGGCATGAGCCACCACACCTGGCCTCAAGATTCTTTTAGGACAAAAAAAAATAATTCTAATAGTTTTTTAAAAACATCATTTTCAATACGTGAGGAGACATCCAGGTCTGAATGTTTGAGGGCAAAGTCTGTGTAAAAGGATTCTTAATGTTAGAAGGCCATTTAGGAACAGTGACATAGAAATTGAAAAGCGGGCTGAAAAAGCAAGAGAGTAGTATGTTTGAGGGATGTGAGAGAAAGTTGAAAAAAGGAGAGTCAAGTGGTGGGAATTTATTCTTATTTTTAAAAAAAAATGACTTAAGAAATCAAATTATTGCTTTAATAATTGTTTTTCCTTTCTAGGATAATAGCCAAGGTTCTGGAGGATAACAACCTGCCTGGTGCAATTTGTTCCTTGACTTGTGGTGGAGCAGATATTGGGTAGGTTACCAGGCTGAGAGCATCCTTCTGTTGAAGGACCTCAGGTGACCAACTAGAATCGTCTTTACTAGAATAGGAAACTCACTATAACCAAGGAGATGAGAATGGTTTTTTGAAATCATTGTTATTAAGGACTTTGTTGGGTTATTATTTTAGGAATACCTAAGCTCTATTGGAGGATGAATAAGAATTGTCTTTTTAATTGCCCAGAGGTACTATTTGTAAGGTTATTATATCCTGAAATAACAAACTGCTGTAATGGTCAGCAGCCTGTGACTCCCTGACACTTGGTTTATCAAGGTGTTTACTTACAGGTTTATCAAGGTGTTTACTTACAAAGAAAGCTATGGAATGGAAGTCTGGGGTCTCATTGCCCACCAAGAACCTAGCCTTCTGTCTGAGTTTCTCAGCTGACGGAAAAAGGGAACCCTAGGAACATAGCTTTTTTTTAATAAAATTGTTTTTTTCCTTTTTAATTGCCATATAATTCACAATTCACATACCATAAAATTCTCTCTTTTAAAGTGTACAATATAGTGGTTTTTAGAATATTCAGAGTATTGTGAAGCTGTCACCATTATCTTATTCCAGGACATTTTGATCAGCCTAGAAAGAAATTCCATATCCATTGGCCATCTCTTCCGATTCCCTCTACACTCATGCCCTGACAGCTACTAAAGACTTTTCTGTCCTGTATGGATTTGCCTATTTGAGACACTTTGTATAAATGTACTCATACAATATGCGGCCTTCTATGTCTTGCTGCTTTTACTTGGCATGATGTTAAGATGACATGGACTATAATTGCGCTGAACAGGGATGAAGCTGAGGTTTTTCTTACCAGCTTAGACTTTCATTAGGTGAGTTTTCTAGGAGTCAAGTCTTACAACCCATTCTGGTGTGGCTAAAGTGTAGTCTCTTCTTCCAATGCTTTTAATGTACTTCCTGGCAATCTCTAAAAGGGGCAATACATTACTCTGTTTTTCATATTGATGAGAAAATTCTAGAAAATACAACTCTTACATGTACAGTGCAGAGTGAAGTATTATCCAAGTGTCATTTAAAACATGAGTCTTTCGGCCTTTGACTGTATTGTTGCATTCTGGGAGTCTAGTCCTTCATGCTGACCTTGCAATTGCTCAGATAATTATGGTAGTATGTACAGGAGCATGTTAAGTAGCAGCCACTTTGAGTATTAGTGCTTATGCTTGCTGGGAAGACTGAACTACAGCTAGTTTTGAACCTGGGAAGACTGACCTAGGTAATTGAGCCAAGCTGTCCAGCCCTACGTTACACTGATACTGTGGCTGCCCTCCTTGGCTCACATTGGACTCTTTGAAGCACTGAACGTGGAACAGAGAGGATCAAATCAATAGTGTCTGATCTGCATTCCTTAGAAGCAACTGGAAATCCTAGCATAGCCTTTACAAGTCAGCTTCCATGAGGAATACTTTAAGATAGAAGTCCCCAACCTTTTTGGCACCAGGGACTGGGACTGGTTTTGTGGAAGACAATTTTTCCATGGCTCACAGCAAGGGGATGGTTTTATGATGAAACCACCCCACCTTAGATCATCAGGCATTAGTTAGATTCTCATCAGGAGCACACAGTCCAGATCCCGTGCAGGCGCAGTTGACAATAGGGTTCACCCTCCTACGAAAATGTAATGCTGCTGCTGATGTGACAGGAGGTGGAGCTCAGGGAGTAATGCTTACTGGCCCACTTACTTGCTCACCTCCTGCTGTGCACCCTGGTTCCTAATAGGCCACAGACTGGTACTGGTTGGTGTCCTGGGGCTTGGGGGTCCCCTGCTTTAGGACATTTCCCTACGGGCTTTTAAGTCTTAATTTTTAATTTAATTTTATTATCTTGTTTTTTGAGACATAGTTTCACTTTTGTTGCCCAGGCTGGAATGCAATGGCACAATCTTGGCTCGCTGCAACCTCTGCCTCCCGGGTTCAAGCGATTCTCCTGCTTCAGCCTCCCAAGTAGCTGGGACTATAGGCACCTGCCCCCATACACGGCTAATTTTTTATGTTTAGTAGAGATGGGGTTTCACCATTTTGGTGAGTCTGGTCTCGAACTCCCGACCTCAGGTGATCCACCTGTTTTGGCCTCCCCAAGTGCTGGAATTACAGACATGAACCACTGCGCCTGGCCAAGTTTTAATTTTTAATTATTTATTTATTTTACTTTTTTGAGACAGCGTCTCTTGTCACCTAGGCTGGGGTACAGTGGCATGATCTAGGCTCACTGCAACCTCTGCCTCCCAGGTTCCAGCGATCCTCCCCTCTCAGACTCCAAGTAGCCTCCCAAGTAGCTGGGACTACAGGCGCATGCCACCACACCTGGCTAATTTTAGTATTTTTTGTAGAGACGAGGTTTCACCATGTTGCCCAGGCTCATCCTGCCCAAGTTTTAGTTCTTAAAAGAATTATAGGGCCGGGCACGGTGGCTCAAGCCTGTAATCCCAGCACTTTGGGAGGCCGAAGCGGGTGGATCACGAGGTCAAGAGATCGAGACCATCCTGGTCAACACGGTGAAACCCCGTCTCTACTAAAAATACAAAAAAATTAGCTGGGCATGGTAGCGCATACCTGTAATCCCAGCTACTCAGGAGGCTGAGGCAGGAGAATTGCCTGAACCCAGGAGGCGGAGGTTGCGGTGAGCCGAGATCGCGCCGTTGGACTCCAGCCTGGGTAACAAGAGCGAAACTCCGTCCCAAAAAAAAAAAAAAATTATAGAGCAGTTAAAAGTCTGTAAAACTGGAATGCTCAGCAAGGAAATGCTGAGATCATAACAGGAAAGACTTTCTTCCCTAACAGCTTTCTCTAGGTGATTTCTATTTAAATGCTCACAGCAGGTTAGCATGTTCTGCCTTACTTATGAAAAACTTTTTGTCCCTTTTCATTGAAGACCTTCCATTGCTCCCCTGGGATAGACTTTCCTTTAGCTTTGAGGGACTGCTTTTCCAAGGGAACTTCAGCGTTCGGTACCATTTGTTGCCATTCCTGAGTTCTCTGCCATTCCTGGGTTCTCCATGGTCTGACTGACCCCGTCTGTTCCCCTGCAGCACGGCAATGGCCAAAGATGAACGAGTGAACCTGCTTTCCTTCACTGGGAGCACTCAGGTGGGAAAACAGGTGGCCCTGATGGTGCAGGAGAGGTTTGGTAAGTGTTGGTTTTCTAATAAGGATTTTAATCTCTCAAATATGGAGGTGAAATCTAAAAGTTGAGTTTTTGTTTTCCTCTCAACCTTTTCCATGGAGACAGTGGTCATGTTTATTTGAATGTCTAAGTAAAAGAAAAGGGTACAGTTATTAGCAGTTGAATGTTAGGGAGGTCCTAAATTTAAATACTAAAATTTATGAAAAGAAGTCATTTCTCTCTAAATGGATATAGTAAAATATTTATCAAATTCTACTAGTCCTGTTTGGCAAATTAAAGAAGAAAAATGTCATCATTTAAACAGGAGCACTGAATACAGAACTTAAGAGTGAGTATGGAATAAAAGGCTTAAATCCGCTCTTTTCTCATGTATATTTCATGGATACATGATTGAAAAAGGTTGTATAGACATAGCTTTGTATACTGTACTGTGCTTTATGGATGATTTCCAAAGTTTTCAAGGATAATATTGGCTATGAATTTTTGGCTGCTAGGTTGAATTTTAGACTTTAACCCCAGCATAAGACGAGACTTGACTAGTTAATCTGTCAGCCATTTAACTCTGTAGGCATTGCCAACATAGATTTTTGTATATCAATCTTGTGTTCTACAACCTTGCTGACCTAATAAAAAAGATCAGCAAGGTTGTAGAACACAAGGTTGATATACAAAAATCAATTGTATTTCTATGCATTAACAATGAACAATCCAAAAATGAAATTCAGAAAACAATTCAATTTATAGTAACGTGAAAAGGATGTTCTTTCTTTCCCTCCCTCCTTCCCTCCCTCCCTCCTTTCTTTCATCTTTCTTTCCTTCCTTTCTTCCTTCTTTCCTTCCTTCCTTCTTTCTTTCCTTCTTTCCTTCCCTCCCTCTCTCCCTCCCTTCCTTCCTTCCTTCCTTCCTCTCTTATTGTGAGGAGAAGTCCACACAACATAAAATTTACTTAAAAATGGTTAAGATGGTACATAGTTCAGTAGTGTCAAGTACATTCACATTATTGTACAGCCTATCTTTAGAACTTTTTCATCTTGCAAAACTGAAACTCCATACCCTATAAACACTAATCCCTCCTTCCCCTACACCCAGCCCTTGGTAGCTACCCTTCTCTCCGTTTCATTGATTTTGACATCTTTCATATGAATGGAATCGTAAGTATTTGTCCTTTAGGGACTACTTTATGTCACTTACCATGATGTGTACAAGGCACAACTATCTTGTAGCATGTAATAGGATTTCATTTTTAAGGCTATATAATAAGCTGGGCATAGTGGCTCATGCCTGTAATCCTAGCACTTTGGGAGGCCAAGACGGGTGGGATCTGAGCCCAAGAGTTTGAGCCCAGCATGGGCAACATGGCAAGACCCTGTCTCTGCCAAAAAAATGTACAAGAATAAGCTGGGCATGGTGGTCCAGCTACTTAGGAGGCTGAGGTGGGGGAACTGCTTGAGACTGGGAGGTTGAGGTTGCAGTAAGCCATGATCATGCTACCAAACCGCAGCCTGGGCAGCAGAGTCAGACCCTGTCTCAGAAAAAAAAAGAAAAATTAATAAAATAAAATAAGGCTACATGATATTTTATCATATTTATATACCACATTTACTTTACTAATTCATCAGCTGATGCACATGGGTTGCTGTCACCTTACAGCTATTGTGAATAATACTACTGTGAATATTGGTGTACAAATAAATATGGAGTCCCTGCTTATACTCAGAAATGAAATTGCTTGATCATGTAGTTGTTCATTCATTCATTCATTCATTCATTCATTCATTCATTCATTTATATGAGACAGTCTCGTTCTGTTGGCCCAGGCTGGAGTGCAGTGGTGCGATCATGGCTCACTGTCATCTCAAATTCCGGGGCTTCATCCTCCCGAGTAGCTGGGACTCCCGGCAGGTACTACCATGCCCAGCTATAGTGACTGCCCCATTTTACTTTTTCTTCTTGAATAGTTTCAGACAAGAGAGGGCGCATTCAGGGTGGTTTGGTTTGCCTGTAGACTTTCTTGTATAATTTCAAACCTAAAATTATAAGGCCAACATAAGGAATTCCCGTATACCCTAATTGCCTACATTTTGTCCCATTTGATTGATCATTTTCTCTCTCTCCAGCAACATCTATGCATACACTTCAGCAACATCTATTCACACACACACACACACACACACACACACACACACACACACATTCTGTGAGTGCATATTATTCTTGAACTGTTTAGAGTATGTTGAAGATGTTGCTTTCCTTTATTATTACTAAATATTTTGGGGTATTTCCTAAGATTATGGACTTTCTCTTGCATAACCACAGTAGTTACCAAAATCAGGGCATTTGATATTGATACAATAGTAATGCTACTTTAAAATGAGAAAATAAGTTGAAAAATAATTGGAATAGGGTGTAATTGAGATAGCTGTATGATTGGGATAGGCTATATAAAAAATAATAGGACAGGCTATATAATTTAACAGTTGGGGTTAGGCTATATAGCAGTGTGTAGTAAATACAGAACTAGCCATTCATTTGTATGTGTAATGTTTTTAAAGGGAGAAGTTTGTTGGAACTTGGAGGAAATAATGCCATTATTGGTAAGGCTGCCCTTTCGTTTTTGTTTGTTTTCTCATCATAGTTTCTGCAATCGCCATCCTGAATATATGGAATTTGTCTCATTTAGGATCTCATTTTTTCCATGTTGCTTATGCCTGAGACCTAGTTCCTGTGTTTAGGAATTTTACTGGGGAGATAGGACACAAGCTTTGTTCGAAGGCAGAGGTAACTAGGAAGGAAAGGCATTCTATTTAGAACATGTTACCTGGGATCTAGAACCTGTGAATAAGGCTTCCATTGCCAATGGAGTGTGGCATTATTTCTTGTTTTTTCTTCTTCTGTTGGCTGAAAACTGGCTATATTTCTCTGGAATAACTTAAGTAACTCTTATGTGACTTGATCATTACTTTAGATTTCAAAACATTATTTTGTCTTTAGTGGAATATTGAGTGCTTTTATATTGGGAAGAAACGTGTCCTTAAGGCATTTTTAGAAAATCACCTATAGGCTTAGAGATTACTTAATGCTCTTTTTCACCTGTCTGAATTTGTCACAAAAATGCTTAGATATTTGTAGATGACACGCATAAGAAGTATGTGTAAGATATAAGAAGTAGATGGTGAAGGGTTTGTTCTGGATGAACTTTTTTTTTTTTTGAGATGGAGTGCAATGGCATGATCTTGGCTCACTGCAACCTCCATCTCCCAGGTTCAAGCTATTCTCCTGCCTCAGCCTCCTCCTGCCTCAGCCTCCCAAGTAGCTGGGATTACATGCACACACCACCACACCTGGGTAATTGTTGTATTTTTAGTAGAGATGGGGTTTCACCAAGTTGACCAGCCTGGTCTCGAACTCCTGACCTTAGGTGATCCACCTGCTTCAGCTTCCCAAAGTGCTTGGATTATAGGTGTGAGCCATTGTGCCCAGCTTCTGGATGAACTTTTAAAGAGAGACTTCAGTAAAAAACAAAGTTCGCATTTAGTGAGCACTAGTGTCTGCCAGGTATTGTGGTCAGCTGTTTTATATTCATTATTTTATTTAATCCCTACAACAATCCTATGAAATAAATACTGCTATTAATCTAATTTGAAGGTTGTATTCTGAGACTTAAAATGATTACGTACCTGAAGTAACAGGATAGCAAATGACAAATGCTACTACTTGTATCTTGGCAGCCAGACCTCAGAGCACAGCTCTTCCTTAACTGTCTACTACCATCCATTATTACCCTAGGCATCATTGCCCCATTTTTTAGATGAGGAAACCGAGGCTTGAAAAGTTAAAATAGGCGGGGTGTGGTGGCTCACACCTGTAATCCCAGCACTTTGGAAGGCCAAGGAGGACGAATTTGAGACCAGCCTGGACAACATGGTGAAACCCCATCCCTAAAAAAATACAAAAATTACCTGGGTGTGGTAGTACGCACCTATAGTCCTAGCCACTGGGAGGCTGATGTGGGAGGATTGACTGAGTCTACAAGGTCAAGGCTGCAGTGCCACTCTTTCCAACCTGGGTGACAGAGTGAGACCCCATCTCAAAAAAAAAAAAAAAAAAAGAATAGACATAAAAACCCCTGAGAAATAAAAGATGAAGAGGCCAGAGGAGTGGGAACCTCAATTTACCCCTTTATATCTGGGTAAAGATTATAGAGCTCATGGTCTTCCTTGGAAAAAGAGTCTGCCTTTCTACCCTGATGTGTGTATATGTCTCTGTGATATTAATATGCTTACTTTACAACAATAGTTTTGACGTTCTCTTACTGCACTTTATAAAAACATTGTCGGCCGGGCGTTGTGACTCATACCTGTAATCCCAGCACTTTGGGAGTCTGACGTGGGTAGATCACTTGAGGTCAGGAGTTCAAGACTGACCTGACCAACATGGTGAAACCCCATTTCTACTAAAATTACAAAAATTAGCTGAGTGTGGTGGCACATGCCTGTAATCCCGGCCACTTGGGAGGCTGAGGCAGGAGAATCGCTTGAACCTCGGAGCGGGAGGTTGCAGTGAGCTAAGATCATACCATTGCACTCCAGCCTGGGTGACAAGAGTGAAACTCCATCTCAAAAAAAAAAACACCAAAAAAAACCCCACATTGTTTTATACCAGCTAACAAATACCTGTCTACCTGTTTTGCTTCACTAATGGATGTGTTTGTGCTTTCTTAAGCCTTTGAAGATGCAGACCTCAACTTAGTTGTTCCATCAGCTCTCTTTGCTGCTGTGGGAACAGCTGGCCAGAGGTGTACCACTGCGAGGCGACTGGTGAGTATGTCTGCATAGGCCCGTGAGATTGTCTTGCTCTTAAACACTACTTTTTAACGAGGTCTGCTGTTAGGGAGGTGTCAGCAATACTGCTAGAACAACGTGCTCTCTAGATGCAGCTGACAAATATGTGGCCCAGTTCTCTTTCTGTGCTCATGGCACATGTTGTTAATCAATCAGGAACTTTGCCTTTTCCCTACCCCAAGCTAATTGGGGTTCCACCACCAGTTGATTGGAGTTGGACTAGGAGATGAGAACTATTTTCAGTCCTACTCCTAGAACAATATGGAAAAAGTCCAATGTAACTTAGAGATAAAACAAGATAAAAATGTTAAAAATTATTAAACTATTAGCTAAAAATAGAATGTTGCTCTTTTCTAAAAGCATTTTAAGTAGTAAAACATTTTAAACATTTTGGGCTGGGCACGGTGGCTCAAATATATAATTCCAACATTTTGGGAGGGCAAGGCAGGAGGATTGCTGGAGCCTAGTAGTCCGAGACCAGCTTGGGCAACATAGCAATACCCTGTCTCTACAAAAAGTTAAAAAACATTAACCAGGCATGATGGCTCATGCTTGTAGTCCCAGCCACCTACTTGGGAGGCTGAGGCAGGGGGATTGATAGAGCCCAGTACAAGGAGGCTGCAGTGAGCCATAACTGCACCACTGTTCTCTGGCCCTGGGGACAGGGCAACATTCTGTCTCAACCAATCAATCAATAAACATTTTAATTTTTAGCCTCAAGTCTAATCTTAGCTTTGACTTGAAATGACATGATTCATTGAAAAGCAAATGATTCTGTATACCCTTGACCTCTCTATATACGTATGTAGTCTGCATGCATATATATAAAAACAACAGATTAACATTAAGTGGGCCGGGTGTGGTGGCTCACACCTATAATCCCAGCACTTTGGGAGGCTGAGGCGGGTAGATCACAAGGTCAAGAGATCGAGACCATCCTGGTCAACGTGGTGAAACCCTGTCTCTACTAAAAATACAAAAATTAGCTGGGCATGGTGGCACACACCTGTAGTCCCAGCTACTCAGGAGGCTGAGGCAGGAGAATTGCTTGAACCCAGGAGGTGGAGGTTGCGGCGAGCTGAGATCACGCCATTGCACTCCTGCCTGGGTAACAAGAGCCAAACTCCGTCTCAAAAATATATATATATATATTAAGTGTATATAAGGGGAGATATGGTTTAGCTTCAGTGTGGGATTTGGGAAGTTTAATATCTATACTTAAGATTGAGCTGGACATCAGTTTAGTATGTGTTACAGCTTTGATTTTCATGACTTTATTGTATTAAAAGACTATACAATAACTGAGCCAGTTTTTTCTTGTTTTTTGAGACAGAGTCTTGCTCTATTGCCAGGCTGGAGTGTAGCGGTGCAATCTTGCTCACTGCAACCTCCACCTCCTGGGTTCAAGTAATTCTCCTGCCTCAGCCTCTTGAGTAGCTGGGATTATAGGCGTGCACCACCATGCCTGGCTAATTTTTGTGTTTTTAGTAGAGATGAGGTTTCCCCTTGTTGGCTAGGCTGGTCTTGAACCCCTAACCTCAATTGATCCACCCACCTTGGCCTCCCAGAGTGCTGGGATTATAGGCAGGAGCTACCACACCCCACCCTGAGCAAGTTTTAGTTAGGTACAAAATTTGGCTGCATTTACCATTTAAAAAAAATTATTTTTAGCTCTTTTGAACTTGAGCCATTTTTTATTGTTGAGTTTTCCTTTTGTAATAAAAAAGACCTTCAGTTGCATTATTAAGGAATTGGCTTTGGGCTTTTGCTCTCATTCACAATGAGTGTGAACAAATTCTTTATAAAACTGTCATCTAAATTAATTAGAATAAGCTAAAAGATATATGAAATTTATCTTTATCTTTCTCACACTTGTCTCATTTTTTTTTGTGAGATGGAATCTTGCTCTGTTGGCAAGGGTGCAGTGCAATGGTGTGATCTCAGTTCACCACAACCTCCACCTCCCAGGTTCAAGTGATTCTCCTGCCTCAGCCTCCCACATAGCTGGGACTCCAGGTGCCCACCACCATGCCTGGCTAAGTTTTGTATTTTTAGTAGAGACAGGGTTTTGCCATATTTACCAGGCTGATCTCAAACTCCTGACCTCAGGTAATCTGCCCGCCTCGGCCTCCCAAAGTGCTGGGATTATAGGTGTGAGCCACTGTGCCCAGCCTCTCACAATTTTCATACTTGTTTTTATTCAGGTATTTTGCACAAATGAAAATAAATCTTTATTTTTACATAGCTGAGATTCTTAAAAAATCTGATACTATATTTGTAACGTTACAGTTTATTAAATTTGTTCATCATACACATTAAATTGCCATTAAAGATTACATTAAAGCTAAGAAAAAACTATGTACTCCAAATGATTATATCCTTCATTACATGGTAAAATATGAAATTACATGAAAGCCAAATATTTCACTATTCAGCCAATTTTTATTTTTTGTGTGTGTTTTAGAGCAAATATTCATAGATGTCCTTTATATTAGTGTTAAATATTAATAGATAATATTAGCCATTGTTCAAATAGATTTCCTTAGAGTTAGCAGCACATATATATATATGTGTGTGTGTGTGTGTGTGTGTGTGTGTATATATATATATATATATATATAAAAATTCCAATACTGTGGGCTGCTTCATGACTAGTTCTCATAATGTCAATTCATTCATCACATGGAGACTAACTCAGAGAATAGATGGTTTGGCAAGTTCAGCTCTGCCACTAGGAGCATAGCATGGACCTCACAACTACCCAAAGTGTGCAAGGGTTATCCTCACCTAATTAAGGCCTCCTCTGGAGACCTATGTGGCCTGGGGCTAAGTGTTTGTAGTTACCAAGCAGCAGTTAGTTACCACTGTGCTCTGTGTTCACTCAGACTTAGAGTTATAGTATGGGACAGATGTACTTGAGGCCTTCTTTAATGTATTTGTGAAGTTTAGCCAAATATGTCCTTGGAAACTTGATAAAGACATGGCTTATGGATGGGGTGCAGTGGCTTATGCCTGTAATCCCAGCACTTTGGGAGGCCGAGGTGGGTGGATCACCTGAGGTCAGGAGTTCAAGACCAACCTGGCCAGCATGGCAAAAGCCCATCTCTTCTAAAAATACAAAAAATTAGCCAGGCGTGGTAGTGGGTGCCTGTAATCCCAGCCACTTGGGAGGCTGAGGTATGAGAATCAGTTGAACCTGGGAGGTGGAGGTTGCAATAAGCTGAGATTGCACCACTGCACTTTTGCCTGGGTGACAGAGTGAGACTCTGTTTAAAAAAAAAAAAAAAAAAAAAAAGATATGGCTTATGATTTTATTCTAACATCTACCTAAAAGGAAATTTTAAACTTCATATAGTTAATATTAAAATGAGAAATAATATAATTAAAAATAAAACGTGCTTTGATTTGCCTATGTTTTTAGAGATTATCATATTTCAATAACTTTCAATAATATTATTCATTGTTTAAAAATGTGTACATTGTACTATGCCCTCAAATAACTCTTTTTTTGCTTAGTTTGTGCATGAAAGCATCCATGATGAGGTTGTAAACAGACTTAAAAAGGCCTATGCACAGATCCGAGTTGGGAACCCATGGGACTGTGAGTATCTCCTTCTGTTTTCCAAGGATCCCTTTTTGAGAGCTGTTGTTTACAAGTGTTTCTGATCTGAGTTTTGGAGTTTCCCTTCTCTGAGAGGACTGAAGGCACGTGAAGCAGATTATTAGGCTTTGGGATATCGTGTCTGCTCCTAGGTTTTGATCCTGGGTGCTTGATATGGGCTGGTGGGTAAGACGAGGAGAGGTTGTTTAGATGGGATGAGATTTAGTGAGCTTCTCTCTCATTACTATTACCCTTGTCCAAGCCAACATTATCCCTCTTGTGGAAGGCTTTAAGAATCCCCTAATTGACCTTTCTGCATGTATTGCTACAGAGTGATTTTTAGAACGTAATCAGATAATTCACTCTCCTGCATAGAATACTTCTCATTGCTTTTAGATTTTTTTTCCTTTTCTTTTTTTTTTTTTTTTTGAGACATGGTTTTACTCTGTTGCCCAAGCTGGAATGCAGTGGCGTGATCTCGGCTCACTGCAACCTCTGTCTCCTGGGTTCAAGCAATTCTCCTGCCTCAGCCTCCCGAAGAGCTGTGATTACAGGTGTGTGTCACCATGCCCGACTGATTTTTGTATTTTTAGTAGAGACAGCGTTTCACTTTGTTGGTCAGGCCGGTCTCGAACTCCTGACCTGAAATGATCTGCCTGCCTCGGCCTCCCAAAGTGCTAGGATTATAGGTGTGAGCCATTGTGCCAGGCCTGCTTTTAGATTGAAACCTAGAGTCCTCTTGATTCCTTCTTTTTCTCAGGCTCCTGATCCTTAATGGTCTGCTGCCTGCCTCCTGCCCTGCTTGCCTTCTCACCAGCCTTCCTGTGTCCATTTTCCCTCTTGCTTTCAGAGTTCCATCTTCTCCAACCTCCTTTCATGTTCCAGGCATGCCAGGCTCTGTCCTGCTGTGCTGTGCTGTCTCCTGGAAACATTCTTGACCCAGGGTGGGGATGGCTTTGCTAGCATGCCTCCTCCTCATAGAGGCCTACCTATAGCTTCCTTCTTCCTCTGTCACTGGGTCACTGTCAGTGCTCTGGTCTCCAGCAGCCGTAACATAGGACAGCGTCATTCTCTTCCCCCTTGAATTATGCACCAACTGCTGACTGTGACAGTTCCTTAGAGAATGGTCACACTGTAATGAGTAAACTGATCCTATGTTTTGAGTGCAGTGCTTTGATTAATTGATAGCCATTCCTTTAAACTAGAGGTTGGCAAACAAACTTGGTCCTGCCTGTTTCTGTAAAGCAAGTTTCATGGCACATAGCCATACCTACTTATTTGCATGTAATTTGTGGCTGCTTTTGCACTACAGTGACGGAGTTGAGTATTGTGATGGAGACCACGTACGTCCTCCAAAGCATAACATATTTACCATCTGGTTCTTTATGGAAAAAGGATGCTGACTTATGTTCTCAATTGAGAGCATATAGGAAGGGATTGGTCCATTCATTGAGAAATCTGTTCTAATAATAAATTGATGCCATAAAGGGCAAAATGATGAGCCAGGCTTCCTTTTCTCTCTCCAGCTAATGTTCTCTATGGGCCACTCCACACTAAACAGGCAGTGAGCATGTTTCTTGGAGCAGTGGAAGAAGCAAAGAAAGAAGGTGGCACAGTGGTCTATGGAGGCAAGGTAAGGGTTGCACTGAGATCAGTGTAACAGCTTTTTAACCTTCTTTTTTTTTTTTTTTTTTTTTTGAGACGGAGTTTCGCTCTTGTTACCCAAGCTGGAGTGCAATGGCGCGATCTCAGCTCACTGCAACCTCCGCCTCCTGGGTTCAGGCAATTCTCCTGCCTCAGCCTCCTGAGTAGCTGGGATTACAGGCACATGCCACCATGCCCAGCTGAATTTTTGTATTTTTAGTAGAGACGGGGTTTCACTGTGCTGACCAGGATGGTCTCGATCTCTTGACCTCGTGATCCACCCGCCTCGGCCTCCCAAAGTGCTGGGATTACAGGCGTGAGCCACCGCGCCCGGCCGCTTTTTAACCTTCTTTTCCTTTAGACACAAGCAGGGCTCTGGGCATATTGGAAAAGTCACCCCATTTGACATCCTTCTTTTCCTGTCTTTATTTTAAGTGGAAATACATGTTTTTGTTTGTTTTTTGCTTTTGAGACAGAGTGCCACTCTGTCACCCAGGCTGGAGTTCAGTGGTGTGATCTCAGCTCACTGCAACCTCTGCTTCCCGGGTTCAAGTGATTCACATGCTTCAGCCTCCCAAGTGGCTGGATTACAGGCGCACGTCCCCATACCCAGCTAATTTTTGCATTTTTTTTGGTAGAGATGGGGTTTCCCGTGTTAGCCAGGCTGGTCTCCAACTGCTGGCCTCAAGTGATCCACCTACCTTGCCCTCCCCATGTGTTGGTATTACAGGCATGAGCCACCACACTTGACCCTGTTTGTTTTTGTGACAGGGTCTTGCTCTGCTGCCCAGGCTGGAGTGCAGTGGTGCCTGATCTTGGATCACTGCAACCTCTGCCTCCTGGGCTAAAGCAGTCCTCCCACTTCAGCCTCCTGAGTAGCTGGGACTACAGGTGACATCACCACCCCTGACGACTCTTTGTATTTTTGGTAGAGATGGGGTTTTACCATGTTGCCCAGGCTGGTCTTGAACTCCTGAACTCAGGTGATTCACCCACCTTGGCCTCCCAAAGTGTTGGGATTACAGGCATGAACCACCGTGACTGGCCAGAAATACATGGTTTTTTTTTTTTTTTTGAGACTGAGTCTCACTGTCTTGCCCAGACTGGAGTACAGTGGCGTGATCCTGGCTCACTGCAACTTCTGCCTCCTGGGTTCAGGTGATTCTCCTGTCTCAGCCTCCCGGAGTAGTTGGGATTACAGGCACCTGCCACCATACCCAGCTAATTTTTGTATTTTTAGTAGAGAAGGGGTTTCACCATGTTGGCCAGGCTGGTCTGGAACTCCTGACCTCATGATCTACCTGCCTTGGCCTCCCAAAGTGCTGGGATTACAGGCGTGAGCCACCACACCTGGCCACAAATACATTTTAAAGAATGACAACAATGCTTGCTTTGACAGCACATATACTAAAATTGGAATGATACAGAGATTAGCATGACCCATGCACAAGGATGATATGCAAATTCATGAAGCATTCCACATTTAAAAAAAAGACAACAGAAAAAAAATGCACGGACATTTCTGGAAGGACATAGAAGAAACTCAGTCATGGTTGCTTTTGAATTGGGTCCCTAAATATTTGTACGGAAAGGAGAATTCCTTTTCATAACACAGTAGGAGACTTTGTATTCAGAGCAATTAGAATCTATTGGTAATCTTAAAAAGTCAGTTAAGGTAAGGAATAAAAAAAATACATACTGTAAGTATTAAAACAAATTAACACATATTGCTGGCCGCAGTAGCTTGCACCTGTAATCACAGCACTTTGGAGGCTGTGGTGGGAGGATTGCTTGAAGCCAGGAGTTCGAGACCCTCCTGGACATCATAGACCCTGTCTCTACCAAAAAAAAAAAAAAAAATGCTGAGTGTGGTTGCATGCATGTGTAGTGCTAACTATTTGCCAGGCTGAGGTGGGAGGATCACTTGAGACTGCAATGAGTCATGATGACATCATTGCACTGCAACCTGGGCAATAAAGCAAGACCCTATCTCAAAAAACAAAAAACCAAATCAAAAACAACCCCACACATATAAAGATTTGTTTGTGGCCAGGTATGGTGGCTCACACCTGTAATACCAGCACTCTGGGAAGCTGAAACAGGTAGATCACTTGAGGTTAGGAGTTCAAGACCAGCCTGGCCAAAATGGTGAAACCTGGACTCTACTACAAAAAAAAAAATTAGATGGATGTGGTGGTGTGTGCCTGTAGTCCCAGCTACTTGGGAGGCTTAGGTGGGAGGATGGCTTGAACCTGGGAGATGGAGGTTGCAGTGAGCCAAGATCAAGCCACTGCCCTCCAGGCTGGGTGAGAGCAAGACTCTATCTTAAAAAAAAGAGAAAACAAAAACAAAAGGACACTAGTCCTGTTGGATTAGGACCCTACCCATATGACCTTGTTTAACCTTCCTCCTTAAAGGGCCTATCTCCAAATACAGTGACACTGAGTATTAGGGCTTCCACATGTCAATTTTGGGGGGAATACAATTCAATCTATAACACACAATAGATATTTAAATTATGTAAATATTAAAACAACCACTTGCAACAGTGTTTGTTCAATATAACCTGGTAGTGTCACATGGCATGGCTCTCCATCCCTGCCTGACTCCTTATTTCCATTTTTCTCTAACCAACTAAGAATCAATACCAAGAAGAAAGAATCTTCATTCATGACGGGAAATTATTTTGGAGAAATAATTCACCTATAAATGATGCTAATTTTTTTCTTTGTTAGTGTAGGCAAAGATTGTATCCTCTAACTCCAAGTACTAGAAAATGAAATGCTTCCATTCTTTTTATTTCAATTCTCTGTATTAGGTTATGGATCGCCCTGGAAATTACGTAGAACCGACGATTGTGACAGGTCTTGGCCACGATGCATCCATTGCACACACAGAGACTTTTGCTCCGATTCTCTATGTCTTTAAATTCAAGGTAAAAATGCAGTCTGTTCTCTAGTCTAATGTTGAAATAAATAATAAGAGGAAATTGATGGTGGATTAAATTTCACTTGATGAGCCTTTAAGAGGGTTTTAGAAAGTAACCTGAATAGTAGCTATATGAAGGTTCAGGATAAGATATGAGATAAACACTTTAAAACTCTATAGCATGCCAAGTTAGCTGCCAGGGAAACCAGATAGGGTAGTGGACTAGTATTGAAGTTTATGGAGTGTGTGGTCCTCATCTCCTGTGTCATATTAATCCCGAGCTGTGTGGGCCATAGAGGCAGCTTCTCCTGAACCCTGGTACTGGATAGTTTGATAGCCTGAGTGCTGTGAACATTTCAGCAGACAAAATGAGAAGATGTGGAGGCTGGGTGTGGTGGCTCACACCTATAATCCCAGCAATTTGGGAACCTGAGGTGGGCGGATCACCTGAGGTCTGGAGTTTGAGACCAGACTGGCTAATGTGGCAAAACCCTGTCTCTACTAAAAAATAAAAAATTAGTCAGGTGTGGTGGTGGGTGCCTGTAATTCCAGTTACCTGGGAGGCTGAGGCAGGAGAATTGCTTGACCCCAGGATGGGGAGGTTGCAGTGAGCTGAGATCACACCACTGCACTCCATCCTGGGTGACAGGGCGAGATTCCATTTCAAAAAAAAAAAAAGATCGGTGGTTGTAAACTGCATCAGGGAACAGGCTGCAGAGTTTTGTTTTGTTTTCCCTGTTCTCATATCTTGGTCTTAAACTGTGGAGGTGTTACTAGGTGAAGACGCTGGACACACACACAATGGCTCATGCTTATAATCTCAGTGCTTTAGGAGAATCTCTTGAGGCCAAGTGCTCAAGACCAACCTGGCCAACATCGTAAGACCTGGTCTCTATAAAAAATGAAAAAATTGGCCGGGCCCAATTGTTCATGCCTGTAATCCCAGCACTTTGGGAGGCCGAGGCAGGCAGATCACCTGAGGTCGGGAGTTGGAGACCAGCCTGACCAACATGGAGAAACGCTGTCTCTACTAAAAATACAAAATTAGCCAAGCATGGTGGTGCATGCCTGTAATCCCAGCTACTCAGGAGGCTGAGGCAAGAGAATCCCTTGAACCCAGGAGGCGAAGGTTGCAGTGAACCGAGATCACACCATTGCACTCCAGCCCAGGCAACAAGAGCGAAACTCTGTCTTAAAAAAAAAAATTAGCCAGGTGTGATAGTGTGTGCCTGTAATCCTAGCTACTTGAGAGGCTGAGGTGGGATGAGATCCTGTCTCTAAAACAAACAAACAAACAAAACTCCAAAAACCAACACAGGTGAATGAATTAAAAGATCTCATTCCCTAGCTTGAGACAGGCCCTAGCCTTGCCAGTAAATATTTAGGATTAATTTTGAGACTATAGAGATTTAATCAAGATTTGAATGTGCCGTTATTAACAGTTAAAGAATAGTGAGAATTGCATCTTGTTGCAGTTACGTGATTGCATTTCTTTATTTCTTGCTTTAAATGACCTATCATTGTTTCACATGTGGGGACTAGTTTTGTAATGTGTTTGTGTACATTATGAGACTGTGTGAGCTCTTGAGCAAAGCAGCCCCTCTAGGCCTCAGTTGCCCTATCTGTAAATTGGGAGATAGTAGAAAACCTGTATTACAGGATGAGGATTAAATAACTAAATGCCTGTTAAGTGCTTAGATGAGTTATTTAGTTATTTCCTCTAAGAGCTCACTAGATATTAGCTATTATACATAATAGATTGAATGAGAGGAAGAATGTGTTAATATTTGTTTCTCAAATTATAATTAGGGGAAAAAAAATCCCCCAAAATTTTATTTATTATCAACAATCTGAATTATAAGAATATACTGTTGGCTCTTTGGTTTCCTTTTGTACACTAAAATTACACTACTGGTACATCTCAGGAAATGAGATTAATGTCAGTAAACTTGGACCTGAATACTATAACATCTAACAGCTTCCAATGTCTCTCCTTTTAGAAAGAAGAAGAGGTCTTTGCATGGAATAATGAAGTAAAACAGGGACTTTCAAGTAGCATCTTTACCAAAGACCTGGGCAGAATCTTCCGCTGGCTCGGGTACAACTTTGACTATTTTGAAAATTTATATAAGTCTGATTTATGTGATGAGTGGACTTAAAAAAAAAAAAAACCAGTATAGTTGAAAGTCAGTTTTTCAGTATTGAAAGCCTTTGAGCTTTGATTTAGATTTTTTATTTATTTTTGTTTGTTTTTAATTTCCTGGTCATTGTTCTCACCATGCCTTTCTTTTTAACAGACCTAAAGGATCAGACTGTGGCATTGTAAATGTCAACATTCCAACAAGTGGGGCTGAGATTGGAGGTGCCTTTGGTACGTAGAGAATAATGTCTTCTTTTCCATGTTGGGCAGCAAAGAAAAACCAGTAGCAGCTTTTAGAAAAGTTTGACCAAGAAACTGAAACACTCCTTATATTCTGAAATAATCTTATGTGACCTAACATGCTGAGAAAGCTTTCACTCTGTATTCAAAGCTTTCGCATAGAGTCTGGCATCATCTCCTCAGAGGCAGCATCAGGTTAGAGCAGAGCCCTCAACCTGAAATGTGTGAACTCCTGAAATGGTGGCATTTGTTTTCTGGGGAGAAGTTTCCAGACCCAAAAAAGGTTAAGAATCCCTGCTTCAAAGCCAGAAAATTTTACATGAAATATTCTGGTTTTTATTTGCAAAGTAGGCATATAAATGTTAAACATAACTCTTTTTCACTAGATAGAATACTAAGTTGTTTCTTTTCATTGGACCTGCTCCTGTTTCCTCTTAATAAGCCATGCATTATTAATGCTGAAATTTGGTAGTGGTTTTTCCTAAAAAGCTCTCCCTAACCATTGTATATTAAGTATCACTTATTAAAAATGATCCTAAGTAAAATAAAATAGATTGCTTTTTGTTTTCTTTTAAATAAAGAAGCAGGCTAGGCACGCTGTCTCATGCCTGTAATCCCAGTACTTTGGGAGGTCAAGGCGGGTGGATCACCTGAGGCTGGGAGTTCGAGACCAGACTGGCCAACATGGAGAAAACCCGTCTCTACTAAAAATACAAAAAAAAATTTAGCTGGGTGTGGTGAAGCATGCCTGTAATCCCAGCTACTTGGGAGGCTGAGGCAGGAGAATCACTTGAACCAGTGAGGCAGAGGTTGTGGTGAGCTAAGATCGTGCCATTGCACTCTAGCCTAGGCAACAAGAGTGAAACTCTGTCTCAAAAAATAAAATAAAATGAAAATAATATATAGAAGCAAAATAAACATGCATTAATACCTGTAAAAGTTTATATCATTAGCGGTATTCTTTTGTATTTTTAGACCATATGCTGCAATTACTGTTTGGTGCACGGACTTTGACAAAGGACTGTGTTTTCAATTCACCTCTTAACCCTGTGTTCCACTGTGCAGTTGCCTAAATGCATGAGTGTCTATCTTCTCCTTTTGTACTAATTTAATCCCTGTTTCCAACCTGTGCCTGCTCTCTCCAATTGACTACTCCTTTTTCTTTTTTGAGTTGGGGGCATGCCCTGTTGCTCATGCTAGAGTGCAGTGGCGTGATCATAGCTCACTGCAGCCTCCAGCTCCCAGGCTCAAGCAATCCTCTTGCCTCAGCCTCCTGAATAGCTGAGATTACAGGCATGTGCCTCCACACCCAGCTAATTATTATTATTATTATTATTTTTTTTTTGTAAAAACAGGCCCTTAGTATGCTGTTCAGGTTGGCCTCAGACTCCTGGGCTCAAGCCATCCTCCTGCCTCGGCCTCCCAAAGTGTTGTGATTACAGGCATGAGCCACTGCACCCAGTCAATTGACTATTCTTCATTTAAGCTTTCATAGTTAATTTAAAAAGTTTTGGTTTCCAGGCACAGTGGTTTATGCCTGAAATCCCAGCACTTTGGGAGGCAGAGGTGGGCAGATTGCTTTAACCCAGGAGTTCGAGACCAGCCTGGGCAACATGGCAAAAACCTGTCTCTACAAAAAAATACAAAAATTAGCTAAGCATGGTGGTGTGTGCTTGTAGTCCAGCTACTTGGGAGGCTGAGGTGGGAGGATCTCTTGGGTCTGGGAGGCAGAGGTTGCAGTGAGCCAAAATTGTGCCACTGCATTCAAGCCTGGGTGACAGAAGGAGACCCTGTCTTCCTAAAAAAAAAAAAAGTTTTGGGCTGGGTGTGGTGGCTCATTCCTGTAATTGCTTAAGCCCAGGAGTTTGAGATTAACCTGGGCAACATACTAGGACCCTGTCTCTACAAAAAATAAAAAAAACTAGCCAGGTGTGGGTACACACCTGTAGTCCCAGCTACTCGTGAGTCTGAGGTACGAGGCTTGCTTAATCCCAGGAGTGTGAGGCTGCAGTGAGCCATGATCCCAACACTACACTCCAGTCTGGGTGACAGAGTAAAACGTGATCCTGTCTCTAAATAAATAAAAGTTTTGAAAAAGTCTTATAATGGAAAAAGTAGTTTTGCCCATACTTCTCCTCCTCCTTTCTCAGAGGCTACACTGAGATTCTTTTTTCTAGAAGAAAAAAGTAAATTTACCTTTGAATTGATGCCAGTTTTTCTAAATAGTGTGCTTTCACTGCTATCTCCTTGACAGTTTTAGACATTATGTATTGACCCTTTATTATGATAAATGAAATTTTGCAAACCCTTCTCTTTCCCTATATCCTCCCACTATATGATACGATGTTATTACATGGGGGTGAGGTCCATAGGAAGCCAGGCACAAATTCCAAGAGTGTTCTCCCATTGAAGTCACACAGGATGGGCTTAATTCCTCCAGCAATGAGTTGTAACAACACATGTGAATTGTTGTCTACCAGCAAAGCTCATTAGACTCAGGGCCTACCCCTTTTCTTGGAGGCTGGGCATGTGGACACCATCTGCCTAGCACATACCAAAATTCCAGACTCTCAGTAGAAAAGCAGGTATTTTTTAAAAAGCCACATTGTTTGTGCAAAAACAATTTAGAGTCAGAGAGCTGCCCTTACCATTTAAGGAAAGTTTTATGTTATTGTAGAGAGCTGTTTACCAGCCAAATTTCCAGATGCCAGCAACCTTGCAAGACAGCCTGCTATACAGCAGGTCCTCTATATAATGATGAGGAAAAAACAAATAAACAAAACAACCGATTCTCAGCCAGGGCCACTATCTGTGTGGAACTTGCATGTTCTCCCTATGTCTGTGTGAGTCTGGGTATTCCAGTTTCCTCCCACATCTCAAAGCTGTGCACATTAGGTGAATCAGCATGTTGAAATGGTCCCAGTCTGAGTGAGTGTGGGGGCTGTGTGTGAGTGTACCCTGTTGAGGTGGTTTCTGCTTGTACCCTGAGCTGCTGGGATAGATTCCAGCTACCCATGATCCTGAACTCAATAAGCAGGTTGGAAAAGAAATGAATGAATGAATACAAATTATTGTAAAATATACATGTGTAAAGCAAACGGTTATGTACAAATTCATGATGATAAACATTGAATGAAAGTGCTCAGTGAGCCTGCTAGATTTGTTATTCTTTGTTTTTGAACTGTGTTGTGGGAGGAGGTACTCCTTACAGTTTTTGATATGGAAACATAGATTCCTTGATTTAATCCAACCACTGTCACTGAGTGCCTTCACTCGCTGATACATCAAAAATTGGGTAGTTATTTTTCTTGTTTTTATTAATCTTCCTTAAGTACATTTATTTCAATGTTTAGTATTAGAAGCATTTTGGGTCTTTATTTAGATGTGCGATGTTTTTGTGACCAGAAATGTGCCATAGGAATTTAACATTAGTTTATAATGGTAAAATGGGTTTTGTGATATGCCATTACACTTCAAGTCGTAATTTCTATGACTATGATAGGCTGCCTTGCAAGGTTTTGTGATATGCCATTACACTTCAAGTCCTTCAAATTAAGTAGAGACTCACTGTACCTTTTATGCTTTTCCTGCACAGTTGGTAATCATTTGTCCTCAGAATTTTAAAGCCATTACTTATTATTTTGGTTTCTAGTATTGCAGCTGAAAAGTACAACCCATTTTGATTTCTGATCCTTTTTTTCTCTTCTTTCAGAAATATTTGGGTCTACTGTTTATGTCTGATGTTCTGGAATTTCATAATGATATACCTCAATGGAGATCTGTTTTAAAAACTTTTTGTTGGGCTGGGTGCGATGGCTCATGCCTGTAATCCTAGCATTTTGGGCGGTTGAGGCGGGTGGATCACTTGAAGTCAGGAGTTTCAGAGAAGCCTAGCCAACATGGTGAAAACCCATCTCCACAAAGAATACAAAAACTAGCTGGGCGTGGTGGATGTGCCTGTAGTTCCAGCTACTCAGGAGGCTGAGACTCGAGAATTGCTTGAAATTAGGAGGCAGAAGTTGCAATGAGCTGAGATTGCACTACTGCACTACAGCCTGGGAGGCAGAACAAGACTCTATCTCAAAAAATATTTTTTTTGTTGGGTAATCAGTGGGCCAGTGACTGGCCTAGTTAGATTTTGGGGACTCTTAGTTTTCAATTATAGAAGGTTTTTGTTAGTTTTCTTTATCTTGTTAGTATTTCTTTGATTTTCCCCTTCTATATTCTCCATTTTCATTTCTAGAACTCCTATCATTTTAATATAGTATCTTGAAGAATTGTCTAATTTTGTCTTTTCTCATTATTCTTTTCTTTTTCTTTTTTTTTGAGATGGAGTCTTGCTCTGTCACCCACGCTGGAGTGCAGTGACAGGATCTTGGCTCATTGTAACTTCTACCTCCCAGGCTCAAGTGATTCTCCTGCCTCAGCCTCCTAAGTAGCTGGGATTACAGGCATGCACCACCATGCCTGCTAATTTTTGTATTTTTAGTAGACATAAGGTTTTACCATGTTGGCCAGGCTGTTAATCTGCCTGCCTTGGCCTCCCAAAGTACTGGGATTACAGGTGTGAGCCACCACACCAGGCCATTTTTTGCACTTTTGATGGCACACTTTTTTTTTTTTTTTTTTTTTTGAGATTGAGATGGAGTCTCCCTCTGTTGCATAGGCTAGAGTGCCGTGACAGGATCTTGGCTCACTGCAGCAGCCTCTGCCTCCCAGGTTACAGTGATTCTTTTGCCTCAGCCTCCCAAGTAGGTGGGATTACAGTTGTGTACCACCACCCCCGGCTAATTTTTGTATTTTTAGTAGAAACGGGGTTTCACCTTTTTGGCCAGGCTGGTCTTGAACTCCTGACCTCAGGTGGTCCGCCTGCTTCTGTCTCCCAAAGTGCTGGGATTATAGGTGTGAGCCACTGTGCTCAGGGTTTTCTCTCTCTCTCTCTCTGTCTCTCTCTGTCTCTCTCTCTCTTTTTTAACTAATCAAAAGAGAACTGGAGTATTCTCTTTTTTTGTTTTGTTTGTTTTTTACTAAATGGCACAGTTTTAAATAGTATTCTTGTTTTATGGAATCATTATTTTCTTGAAACCCTCTATAATGATATTAATGTAGCATTGAAATATTATAAAAGTAGTATATAAATAATAGAAAATTGGAATATTTAGATAAGCATAAATGAGAAAATAAAACTATATTTTCATCACTGTCTAGAGGCTTCCACTCTTTTTTTCTTTTTGAGACAGGGTCTTACTCTGGCCCAGGCTTGCGCAGCCTCAACCTCCCCAGGCTCATGTGATCCACCCACCTCAGCCTCTCAAGTAGTTGGGACTACAGGTGTGTGCCGCCACACCAGCTAATTTTTGTAGAGATAGGGTTTCACCATATTGCTCAGGCTGATCTCAGACTGCTGAGCTCAAGCAATCTGCCTGCCTCAGCCTCCTAAAGTGCTGGGATTATAGGTGTGAGTTACCATGCCCAGCCTCTACTCTTAATACCTTAGTCTAATGGGATTTTTTTTTTAAATTTTTATGATTTCTTTCTGATATGTTTCCATTTCCTCTTAATTCCTTACATTTTATTTTCCCTCTTAATTCCTTTTTTCTGTTTGTTTGGGCTCTGTCTTTGATTTATTTTTGCAGGGGAGATACTGTGGGGTAAATGTAAATAATCGGGTAGCTCTGGTGTCATTTTGGTATCTTTTTTTCAGCGATAGCAACTAGGAGTCCACACGGAAACTGCTCAAAAGGTATATTATTTTCTATTTCTCTAGGAGGAGAAAAGCACACTGGTGGTGGCAGGGAGTCTGGCAGTGATGCCTGGAAACAGTACATGAGAAGGTCTACTTGGTAAGAAAAGGCTTTGGGAAGATAGGTTTGGGCTTAAAGTCTTTGGGAATGGGCTTTTACACTCTCCTGTTGTCTGTGCTGTCTTTGATTTGATTTTTCCAGCATTCCACAGCTGTCTTCTCTGAATCTATTTGATACTGTTTTTCTAGCCTTCTTGCCCTGCTTCAGCTAGTGTCCAGCACCCAATGATGAGACGGTCTCATGGGTGGTTTCTGTCCAGGAGCAGGACACGTGGGGTCAACCAGTAGGGTAAAGTAGAAGAAGCTGTTCTTTTCATTTTCTTCTTGGATGCACTCAGTAGTCTTGCAGACTGTAGAAGCAGCAGAAAACAGAGGCAGGGAGGGCCCTGCAGGCCTGGCTAGCAAGCAGAGGGTAGTGGGATACCAGCTCTCAGAATAGTGAGCACAGTCCTTGAAAGTGGATTAGCTCATTGACCCAGCACGTGCATAGCTTGATAGGGAGCCTGCTGGGAGATTTTGACTAGGACTTGTTTCTTCTACTTTTTTTCGTCTCCCCCTACTCCCTTCCTGCTCACCTTGGGTAGAAGTAGCTTTTATTTAAGTGCCTAAAAAAGTTTGCTGGGGAAGACCCATGGGGTGTTGTCATACAAAAAGAGCACTAGGTAAGGAACCAAGAGACACCATCCCAGCTCCATTTACTGCTGTCACTAGCTCTGGAACCTCAGGCAGGTGCTCGGCCTTGGTTCCCTAGAGCCTCTGCGACTGTGTTCGTGCCAGGAATTTCAGAGGTGCTGTGCTGTTACCTGTGGCTTGTTTTATTTCAAACATGCAAGCTTTTTACCGGCTTCCCATACTTTGAAGTCCGTTATGTCTCTTTTTACTTTGCTTGTGAATTTGAGGGCTAGAAAGGCAAACTTTCAGCTGTGATTTTTCTGGAACCCATTTTAATGGAGAGTCTTTTCTTCTCATGAGAAAGACCAGGTGACTAGTTGATAGAGAAGCTTTTATTTCAAAATTAAATATATATTTTTAATGTATTTCTATCAAATGGGAATATCTGTGTTTTCCCTGATAATTCAATATAAGTTATTGAGAGACATAAAGAAGTAAGTTATAACTCCCATATTCTTGTGCCCTGCTCAAAAGAAAAACTATGAATAACATGTATGGGCCAGGCGTAGTGGTTCACTCTTGTAATTCCAGCTCTTTGGGAGGCCGAGGCAGGTGGATCATTTGAGGTCAGGAGTTTGAGCCCAGCATGGCCAACATGGTGAAACCTTGTCTCTAAGAAAAATACAAAAATTAGCCAAACGTGGTGGCGTGCGCCCGTAATCCTAGCTACTGGGGAGGCTGAGGTGGAGAATCAATTGAGCCTGGGAGGTAGAGGTTACGGCGAGCCAACACTGCACCACTGCACTTTAGTCTGGGCACAGAGTGAAACCCTGTCTCAAAAAAAAAAAAAAAAGAAAAAAAGAGGATGACATGTGTCTTTCCAGATTTTTATGTTTCTCTCTCTCTGTCTTTTTTTTTCTTTCATAAAATGGGATCCATACTAACATTGTCTTTTATCTTAACGGTTTTTCTTTAGCAAGTTATAACTTGGAGATCTCACCTTATTAATATATACAGATCCACTACATTTTAAAAGTGGGCATGAAAATCTTCTGTTGTGTGTGTGTAGTATCATTAATTCTGTTCATTTTTTCCCACTAGTACTATCAACTACAGTAAGGACCTTCCTTTGGCCCAAGGAATCAAGTTTCAGTAAAGATGTTTTAGATGAACATTGCTTAATTTGAGGTGTTCTGGCAGCTGTTTTTGAAGAAGACAAAGAAAATTAAAATTTTCCCTGAATAAGTGCGTCATTATGACTGTGACATTGACTAATCCCCCATGACCCCAAAGCCCTGATTAAATCAAGAGACTCATTTTTAAAAAATCAAAATAAAATTGTTACAACATAGCCATATTTACTAAAAGATGGGTTCGATGGGTTTTTATTACTTTTTTTTTTAAGTTAATGATTATTTTGTAATTAGAAAAAATAGTACATACCATGGTAGGAATTTGGGAAAATACAGACCAGAGGGGAAAACAGAAGACTTTGCAGTAGATACAGGTGTCTCCTGAGCAAGCAGAGGATCCGGGGGGTGAGTATTGCTTGACATTACCCACCTGTGGCATGTATTGGATGTCGTGTGATTGAAAGGGAGATGCGTTCCCTTATATGCTTGAGATCATAGTTCAGTATTCATGTGAAGTAACTTGCAGAGCTTAAAATGACAACAGGCATTCATCACAGTCATGGCTTTTGCTCATGAAGACTGCGTCAACTTGGAAGAGATTTGTGGGGTAGAGATTTTGTTCCTGCGTGGGAGTCTGCCACCTGCTGGAGGAGTCTTGAGGCCAAAACTGCCTGTGCAGAATTTTATAAGTGTATCTGGAGGCTGGGTGCAGTGGCTCACACTTATAATCTCAGCACTTTGAGAGGCCGAAGCAGGTGGATCACTAGAGGCTAGGAGTTCGAGACCAGCCTGGCTGATATGGTGAAACCCTGTCTCTACCAAAAAATGCAAAAATTAGCAAGGTGTGGTGGAAGGTGCCTGTAATCCCAGCTACCCAGGAGGGTGCGTTAGGAGAATTGCCAGGAGGCAGAGGTTTCAGATTGCACCACTACATTCCAGCCTGGGCGATACCGAGATCCTGTCTCAAAAAAAAAAAAAAAAAGTGCATCTGGATTTTTTTTAATACAACCTTAGACCATTTTCTTTAGCTACTAGGCTTCTGCAGTTGCCCTTGGATCCGTTCTCAATCCACAATCCTCAGTGTGTGTGGCAGCATGTGGTCATAGAGAGCTGGGCAAGTTCACTTTCTCCTTGCCGACAGTCTCACTTCTTCTCATTGGGAAGCTGCACAGGAGCCTTTCGGCTGGTTCAGTCCAGAGGCCCCTATTCTCCTGTCTTCTTGGCACTCTCTGCTCCCCCTCTGCATGGCATCCCTCTACCCCTGCCAGGTTGGACTGGGGCAGAGGCCTTTGAAGAAGACATTTGTAGACAACCCGATCCATCAGGATGTGGAGAGTTTTGGACAAATGGCAAATAATTTGGGGTTGAATTATGGTCCAGAGAAGTAAGCAAATGAAAAACTAAACAATTATAAATGTATCAGGGAAGGAAAGGCATCCATAATATGTCGCACGGCCAGCTGCGAGCGGCATTTAACTAGACATGCTGTTGTCAATCTTGAACATGAATCAAGCCAAATACTAATGTTATAGCTATTGAGAGAAGGTTGGCAATAAGAAATCATGAGTGAGGGTAGGTGGGAGTGCTAATCTTAGCTAGAGATTTCAGGTAAAACTGATTCTGAAAGCTTTCTTTGAAACAAATTTATAATTTTTCTTCTAAATGTTGCCCAAGGACTCAATATTTTTGGTTCATTAAAACATACACCTTCAATTTGTTCCTCTTTGTTGATATAAATCACTTGTTATTATTTTTAACCACACAAGTTAAAATGTACATTTGTAACTGTTATTGCTGGTCTTATATTTGAGGGTAGGAGGGGTTTTGTGTTGCTCATTACTGGTTATATTGAGCATTTCATAACTGCTGCCTCCTCCTAAATCCTGTGTTCCAGCCACTACTGCTGACCATGCCCAGCCTCCATTGTGGACATGGGGAATTGTGGTTAGAATGCTTGCTTCTGCCATGGCACTAAAGCTTAACTTGCTTCAGATCTTGCTATGCTTGGAGAGAGCATCCAGTCTGTTGGGCCTAGCAGCCAGGCTCTTGTGACTCCCTAGGAAGTGGGTGAAGACCTGGCTCCTGGCTGCAGCAGTGTGGAGGCAGGCCCTCCAGATGAAGACTTCTTACAATGCAGGGGAGGCAGTTTTCTCAAAGGAAATTGAGTGCTATTACGTACTCCACTTTCTGCTTTCTCTTTCAGGGTGGGAATCTGTTAAGCCCCCTCTCTCTCCTGCTGTGCAACCACAGAAGACTTTTTTTTTTTTTGGTGTCTCAGTTTTGCCCACACGGGAGTGCAATGGTGCAATTGATTGGCTCACTGCAGCCTTCAACTCCTGAGCTCAATCTGTTCTCACACTTCATGCTCCCCAGTAGCTGGGACTACAGGTGCATGCCACTGTGCCCAGCTAATTATTTATTTTTTGTAGAGATTGGGTCTTACTACATTGCTCATGCTGATCTTGAACTCTTGGCCTCAAGTGATCCTCCTGTCTCAGCCTCTTGAATTGTTGGGATTACAGGAGTGCACCACCATGCCCAGCTCTGGAAAATTCTCTGTGGCATTTTGTCTCCGGAACATAATAAAGGGACCAAGAGGCCTCAGTGCCCTTCCTCCTCCTCTCTTCCCTGGCACTTTCAGACAATTTTCCTATTGTCTTCATTCTAACAAAAGTTGCAAATTGGAAATCTGGTTTGAAATGTTTTTTAAGTGTTTTCAGTTTCAAAATTTTAATGAAATTTCTATGATCTCCAACACATTTTTTTTTTATACTCGGCATGATTCACTTGCTTACCCTGATTCCCTTATTTAGGTATCTGGAGACATGCAGTGGTGACCATTTTTGAAGTTTCTACCCTCTCCACACTTACCTCCCCTTCTACGTAACCACTCATATTCAATTTTATTTGTGCTATTTGTTGGTCTTAAAGTCTTAAAAGAGGAGGTGTGAAGAGATTAGATTCAGGTGGCTGCCATTAATCTTCAGTCCCATAAATGGTACATTTTGATGTACCAGAGTTTTAGGTTTTTCTTGTAATAAAATATATTGATCTTTTATAATTTTTCCAATTTAAGGTTTGAAAGTTAGGTTACAAATATCTCTCTTTTTGCTTTTTCTTTATTGTGATGTGTATTTTTAAACATCAAAGTAATACTTGCATGCAGTTAAAAATTCAAACGGGGCCAGATACAGTGGCTCACACCTGTAATCCCAGCACTTTGAGAGGCTGAAGTGGGTGGATTGCTTGAGGCCAGGAGTCTGAGACCAGCTTGGGCAACATGGAGAAATCTTGTCTACAAAAAATACAAAAATTAGCTGAGTGCAGTGGTGATCACCCATAGTCACAGCTATCTGAGAGGCTGAAGTGGGAGGATTGCTCGAACCCAGGAGGTCAAGGCTGCAGTGAGCCATGATCATGCCATTATACTCCAGCCTGGGCAAGAGAATAAGACCCTGTCTCGGGGCGGGGGCTGGGGGGGGGATCAGATTCAGCTAGAATGCTTATAATAAAAGCTAGCAGCTCACATTCTCAATCTACCCAACTCCTAATTCTGTTACCAGAACACCCACTTTTTCTACTGTTGACTTTTCTAACATTCTCTTATTTACCTCCATATTTCTAGTGTGCAACTATCACCACTGTCTAGTTCCAAAACATTGTCATCCCCCAAAAAATCTTGTACCTATGAAGCAGTCATTTCCCACTCCCACCCTCGTCCAGGCCCCAGGCCACCATTATCTGCTTTCTGTCTTTATGGATTTGCCTATTCTGGTTATTTTATATAAGTAGAGTCTCTATTACTAATTTCCAAACAGTTGGAATATCTGGGTCACATGCCTATCGTTAATATTTTCCACTTACTTGGTGTCAGTTTCATTTTTTGTTTTGCTTGCTGTTTTTCCTGGCATTGACACTCCAAGGGCCTTTTGACCCCTGCTCCCATGTGGCTGCTCTCTAGGGCAGCTGCACAGGTGTCCTCCTTGGACTCCCCATTGCTGCTCTTCTATGTTATAGCTTTTTGTTCGCTGGATCCTGTTTTTCCTCTTTATTGCTTTATGCTCTTCTTTTGCTGGAGTCTATCCTGCAGAAGCTTCCTGCCAATGATTGTTTTGGAGGAAATTAAAAGAAAACAAAGCCAAACCTCCCCTATCCAAGGGGGAGAACTTTATCCCTATATTGATTGAATTTAGGATTCTAGATTTAAAATGTTGGAGGCAGTTAGAGTTTCCTTTTTTCCTATTGGAAAGATCCACACATGTTTTATTGACATTTTTGTCTTTAATCAATTTGGATTTGGGATATATGTTTATGTCTACATTAATTTCCCTTTTAAAAATCAAAATAATTCTTCAACCCCAATTAGAAAACTGAGTTGCCCTTTCCACACTGATGCCTGCTTTATAATACACTGCATTCCTATGTATAACACGATCTGTTTTTAGCTGTGTATCCTGATTCAGTAATTGGCATATGTATGTGTGTATATAGATCAATAGAATGCCATTTCCACATGCAGACTGAGGGCAAGCTTATTACTTTTTCTGACTACGTCTGTCAGGTGTCCCCTCTTCTGTGGCTCTATAGGATTCTGTTAGATAGTGGTGGTCACTGCACAAATCTATAAATTAACTAAATGCTACTGGATTGCACATTTTAAAATGGTTAAAATTGTGAGTTTTATGTTGTATTTTGCAATAAAAGAAAAAACATAAAGCAAATTAAGCAATAAAAAGGGCAATTACTAACTCTAGGGAAAACAACATTTAATTCTTGTGATCTTTTAAATATCTTCTATTTAAATTGTTTTAGAGTCCTGCATTTAATATCTATGTGACCTGCAGGAAGTAATCTAATCTCTTTGAACTTCATTTTCTTGTCTGTAATGTGGGTTATATCAGTTTGGTTTCTTTGTTGCAAGCTGTGGAAACCAATTTTGTCTTTAGCAGACATGGGATGCTTTGGAAAGCCCAGATCCAATTTGCCCCTCCAGATCCACTCTCCCACATTCACCTGCAGTGTGTACTTAGGGGCTAATCTCTGTGATCTGTGTCATCTGGGCTTGCTTTATCCTCTGGCTTCTGATGGTGTTTGGCCAGTGGTAGAAAATCAGAGCAGAAAAAAAAATTCAGAGTATTAATTTTTCTACTCCTTCCCTGCCAGCCCATGGTAGCTACTGTCTTTTTTTTTTTTTTAAATGTATCCAAAATGTGTTTATTGGAACGGTTTCCTAT